ATTTCGAAATCAAACTCAACCCCCCCGCAGCCTCACTGCGCACACACACACACACACACACACACACCATCCCACAACATCCTACCATTCGTCAGCAGTCCTGTCCGAGAAGCCTGCTGGCCAACCAGGAACCCCTCCCCAAAGTCCCCTTCACTGCATAACAAAAGTGCCCCCACCCCTAACCATCTGCCACCCCTACAGCTCGCCTCACCCCTCTCGTGTCCCAGCTTGGCCCTGCCCTGCCCCCCTCCACCCCCCTGTCAGACGGCCTCACTCCCCAGCTGTGACGCTTGCCCTCTGCTTCTTCGGCTCTGTTATTAGCCAGCTGTGAGTCACATTCGGGCATCTGCTGGCTACACAATGGCAAAACCCAATCTCAACCCTACGTCCCAGCCCCCTATCCTTACCCCTGCTGCCCCAAAATCCTGGGTCAGTGCCCCACTTCCAGACCAATCTCTTCAGCTTCTTCTACCCAGGAAAGCACCTAGTTTATTTATACAACAAATAACAACTAAACTCGTTGGGTACCTTAGCCATGACTAGACTTCTTAAGCTTGCTCTACTCTTAAAACAACTCTCTGACACTGGCTACACTTATCACATGGTTCAAACACGTTGCCTCAACTAAACACAAGTGGTGGAGAAGCTGGCCTGTTCCACTGCAATGTGACTGCTGCTGTCAGCGAATGTCTGGCAGCAACACTACAGGCCAGAGAGAAAGGAGATCCAGGAAGAAACTTGAAGCTGGCCAGGGACATGCTGCATTACAGTGACAAGCAGCAGGGGGGCTACTACTGTAACAAGGATGATGACAGACAGGCCAGACCTCTAGTTTAACCACAGTTTAATTTTCACAAAAGTAGAGCCCCAAGCGTCATCTCAAAACCATATTTCACACTAACTGAGACAAGGTAGAGTGAGGCAGACTAATGGATATTTGGATTTCATCCCTGTGGGTGAAGGTTTCAGTGGGCATGTGCGTGTGCTTGTGTGTGTGTAACGCTCACCTGCACATGACCTCATGTGTGAGCAGAACTCTGCACATTTCTGGATTTTTGTTTTGTCCCTCATAGGATATGGGCTGGGAGGAGGAAATTAGGAGCAATTGGACGGATTCAGTTTTGTGTAGAACCAGTTAAACTTCTGTTTATATGGTTGGAAAGTTTACCGACCTGTTTAGTGACAGAGTCAATGAGTCGTGCATAAAGATCTTGCTCCGTACGAACTCCTGCAACAAGAAAGCACAAAAGGTTGTTCTTACAAATTTTCCAAATAAAATGCATGTAATATCTCTTGCTTTACTCAAATGAAAACTGGGAGTAGAAAAAAGATCAAGCTAGAAACAAACATTTTTATTGTGCAGCTTTCCTCCATACCACTGAACAACAGTAAATCAAGGCTGATTCAGTTGATCCTAATTGTAAAATACTACATAACCATGAAGGAAACAACTGAAACTGTACTTAAACTCTCTAACCTGCTCTAACCAGTTGATAAAAGAGGACACTGAGGACTCACAAAAATATAATGGAAAGATTTATGATATATATCTTTTTTTCCACAGTCTGAACAAGGTCTCAGAAAAAGCACTGAACTCTGTCCAGCCAACACAGAGGAACAAGATTGGCATGCAGTTCATATTTTCTCTCTGATGGCTTCTGAGGGGATTGAGAGTTATTTGATGTCTGATGATTTTTGGTCATGTTCCGCTATGAGATCAGAATTTACAACTAGATTCTCACGATGTGTCAAACTCTTCTTTTTTGCGCTTATTTTTCAGTTGATTTCTAATTTCGTCCCAGGTTTAGATGACTGATGGGAGATGAATAACACACCAACAGCAGCTGATGCATTTGTTAAGGAGTTCAGCTGAAGAGATTAAGTCTTTTGAACAATGTTTCTTGTTTTAGTGCAATCAAGTGTGAGATTTTCAGAAGCACCTAAACCTGGATGCTGCATACGCTCCACTGTAAATAACACTAGAAAATAAAACAACATATAATGAATTGCTTCTTGAGTGAAAAGTACATTATCCAAGGATTTTTAATATAAACTTTGGAGAGTATTGCTTTTAAAATGTGTTCCACTCATCAAAGCCTCAAATGAAATGCCTTTGATATCGCTTGGGGAAAGAGGATGAGAGGGGGGGATGTAGCGGAAGTGCTTATGGTGTGCTTGTATGTACGTGTGTGTGTGTTGTGTATGAGGGGGTTGCTCTGGAATATGTCTTTTATCTTCTCTCCCATGGGTGCCACTGTGCTGGCAGAGTTGGGGCAGCAGTGACTCATGGGAACTAAATTTCTCTGTG